CATATTTGTGAGTAGGTTGCATGCACCCTAAAGCGGTCGTTGGATTCTCAAGGTATCCGCATGTGTATTAAAGCATTTACCATTGTAACTACAAAAAAGGCAGACAGACAGACTGTCATACTGGCAATCACCGATCAAGAGACGATCACGAAAATACTGATCAATTGTTGCAAATTAGATGTCTTGCTCTGTGTGACATTATTTACCTCGATTCGATGCTGTTCTTCAAATCAATAGCGTTCCTCGATCCGGCATTGAAATTTCGAAAATATATAAGAGTACTAGAAACAGTGACGGTAATAATGTTATTAGTCTTATAAAACCCCAAGGTGGTGGTGAACTGGAGGATTCTTTTGGCTATTGCAATAATGTATTTTCCAGACCCCAGAATGCCTAAACCCCGCAAAATTGTCCTCATTTGGTTTTCCGGGGCTGGTGGGATGGGGCTGATATTTTGAAGTATGCATGATTCATCGGGTCACAAAATTGGAAAAAGTGATTAAATTGTTTCTTTTCCCTCCTGTGGCTGTCGTTTGGCCCACTGTGACGCGTAATCGTTGAGGTCAACTATTCCGACAACTGTACCCATTAAATTGTGTTGAACCGGCATTAAAACTTTCTCACCACTGGCGCACAACCACACAGAGCTGTATTTGTATCGAGTGCTTACACATCTGTTTTGATGAGTTGAACCAAGAGTTCAGCGAGTGAGATGAGATGTACGAACCGGATGGAACTCTGATGAGACAGATTGAGTCTGATGGAGATAACTGTTCACAACACATTCCACATTAACAGACTGACTCAAATTTCCGTTGTTTGCGCGCGCGCTCGCCAGTGAGCTGAAATGACACATCATACACAAACAAGTTGAGTCCCTTTCAACCTTAACCACTAAACGGTGATTTTTCATGACTTTATGCAATTTGTGTTGGATACAAAGTGGTTCAGCGGGGCCAGAAAATAGAATGTGCGAACAACTACTGATTATCCAGCGCAAGTTTATTCCTCAAAGATTGAGCATAATTTGTACCTGTTCAACTACAGAAAAGCGTGCAACAGAGGAAACTATATTGTTCTTGTAAGCGGTTGCACAAGCAGGCAGAGAATCAGATTGGAAACGCGTACAATTATCACACATAGACTGGACAACTGCGTCAAGCAAGCAAGCAAGGATTGTCAAACACACAAAATTCCATCAGTAAATTTATCGTAGATATCAAATCGTCTTGAACCAAGAAAGTTAACCAAGAAATCCTTAGGTGAATCACTCTATCGGGAAACAAGTTTATAGGGTTGTATGGAACATATTTGAGTCCATCACTGATTGTGCAGAGAAGAATAACGAAGTGCAATTCGGTGTGAGCGGAAAAATGTAGGGCGCTTTTTAAATTTAGGAATTGGTTCTTGGACAAAATGAGTCTACTATAGATTTGAAATGATAAAACAAACCTTAAAAAACAGATTTGAGAACACAAAGAAAAATTGCGACCGAATAACGTTCGCTTACTTGGTAGTATCACACTAGGGTATGCTTTGATCACTCCCAGACATGTGAGGGAGGTGATCAAATAAAGTGTGGTACTCAGAGTGGACTTTAAAACTGATTGCAATAGCTGCCCATTTTGGTATGTTGTTCAGCACCAAAAGAACGGGGTCAAGTTTAGCTGAAACAGTTGTATAAGTTGAACTTAAGAATGGAAATACAGTCATTATCTGGATTAGAGCTTTCAATTACTGAATCATCGTGTGATAAAAGTATGAGGAGTGGAAAGATGACTGACTGATCGGCTAAACTGAAGACTGTTTTAGAATGGAGTCTGAACGATAATCACTTAAACTATATTTTGTTAAAATTGTATGGATTTCATGCAGTCACAGATTTTCTCTAACAATCAGTCAATATTTCCCCTCATTTTAGTTTGAATATATTTACAAACTATGATACGGACCTAAGCCTGGTGCTCAGAACATAGAAAGAACTCTTGTCTGAGTTGAATCGGTGTGAATTGCGTCACTTGTTTAACAATATACATAGATCCGGAACCGGTTGAAGACTATAAACTCAATCGAAAATCCTCCTGCTTGTCGGCGGTGGTGGCCGGGTGATAAATGTCACCAAATTATAGCCCCAGTCTGTGTATTTCATTAACATCACCACCGGGTGCGGCCTTGTTTCATTGATTCTCTTGGCATCCAGTGGCATAATTATGTCAACAAATCACTAAAATCGCGTTTAACTCACAGCTACTTGTGAGTAGTGGTGGGGGCTAATTGATTTGAACTGACTGTCTTTTGAACTTCACATTCACGCACAATCCTCAGTTCATGGATTCAACCGTACACTCAGGAGCACTAGGCTCGAGGTTCGCTCTTATTAGAGCTAATCAGTATTGCATATCCACTGTCCCTACCAACAGGATTTGGACTCCGGACCCACCGCATGAAAGGTGTGTGCGTTAACACTGTGCTAACTAGCTCATACGACGGCTAAACCGAATTGCCAATTTATGTTTATTCAGGTGTCGTTTTCAGTGTTAGTCACAAGTAACTGTGAGTTAAACGTGAATATAATCGAGCCTTGTAGGTGTGTGACAAGTCCGCCCGTAGCCCGCACGAAAGTCCTG